TGCTTTCATACAAGTGGAGCTAGAGATCGTTTCTAAGGGATCCATTAGTGACCAGACAGATTCAGAGCCCATCTTGGAAGAGGCTCTGGACTGCAGGCCAGGACAGCTGGTTAGCATACTGAGCAGCTGTCAAACTAGTGGAGAGTTGCGCACACTCCAGGGAAGGTACCAGATTGTTCACAGAAGTGTTTAATCAGCACAGTTTGATCACCTGGGCTGAGCCATGACAATCAGTGGGCTCTGTCCCTTTATTTCACAGCAGAAACTTCAGCTTACGTTAGCGGTGAAGGGGCAAAGTGTGCAAGGCTGGACTCTCACTCAGCATATGCCCCACCCTCACCTCCAACCTCAAGCAGCAGTTTATCTCGCTGCACTGCTACCTGTTCAATTTGTTTTGCTAATATTTCCTAAGTTTGTTTAACTTGTGTGATCAGATGAATCAAAAAGTATTGCATAGGGCTTCCCCGGTGGCACAGTGGTGGAGAGTCCGCCTGCCGATGCAGGGGACACGGGTTCGTGCCCCGGTCCGGGAGGATCCCCCATGCCGCGGAGCAGCTGGGCCCGTGAGCCATGGCCGCTGAGCCTGCGCGTCCGGAGCCTGTGCTCCGCAACGGGAGAGGCCACAACAGTGAGAGGCCCGCGTACCGCAAAAAAAAAAACAAAAAACAAAAAAAAAAACTATTGCATAAATATAAGTTTAATGTTAAAGTAAAATATAAACAATCTCACATTTAATGTTATTCATAGCCATTGACAGCCTGTTTAGCAACTAGGCAAGGACGCTAAGCAGTTAGTGTGTACGAGTGAAATGAACATGACTTGAACACCCCCAAATGAATGTTTAGACTTTGGGTCCTCCCCAATATCTATAACCAGCACCAATGTCGATGGCTTACTGAAAAACAATAGCAACAAAATCACAGCTAACTTTCTTTTAGGGCCTTTCTGATGGGTAAGGCCTCAGTTATCCCTTAGAGTATGGGTTTAGGGCCCAAGAAAAATCACAAGTCTTCCCCTTCCTGTTCGCTTGGCATTTGAACATTAAGAAAATGACAGTGTGACTTAATAGGGAGTTATGAAGACTTGGATTCTTTGGCTGTGTTACTAATTGGTTTGTGCAGGTCACGAACTTTTGTAAGCTCCAGTTTCTATAAAACAAGGGAGTAGGATAGAACGAGATTTTCTTGGAGTGTGAAAAAAGCATAGAAAGCACAGAATACGCATATTTTGAAGCAAGGGGTGTGTGTGTGGGAAGGAGTAGGAGAGGCAACGGAGGAGAAGGCAGCCGCAGCCTGGCAGTGTGGCCTCCAGAAGGGGCTGTGACCTGCACATCCCTTTTCTCACCACTTGGTGGAGCCAGCTCCTCACCTTGTAGTTACAGATCTACCCTCTGTGTTTCAAGGGGTTGTAAAATCAATTTAGTGGGTGGAAACCAGCATTAAAAAGGAAGGAGAATGGAACCTAATCCAAAATATCAGAGTGCATCACACATAGTGAGGGTGTTATTTTGGAGGACTTAATTTTCCTCTTATATATAATGTATACGCATATGCATATCAGGACATGATATATAATTTTTCTTTGGTTCATGATCAAAAATATTTGAAAAGCACTTTGCTGACGCTCCTGCCTGCAATAGGACGCAGGGAGGTCTAGGTCTTTATCCATCTCTCTCCCTCCCTCTCCCCCTCGACCTTCCCCCTTTCTCCCTCTCTACTGACCTACCATCTCCCTCTAGTAGTGCCCCCCTTTCCCCTCTTCCTTCCTCTCTCCTTCTCCCCATCTCTTCTTTCCCCTTGTTATCCACTGTTCTCACTTCTCCTCTATCCAGGTATTTTGCCCCACTTTCCCACTCACTCTGTCTCTCCTGCCTTCCTTCGTGCTCTCCTACACCACCACTTCTGACTCATACCATCTCCACCCACCACCTCTCCCCTCCTGAGCCTCCATCTCACAGATACAGACGTGACAAGACACAGTCTAAGTAGGAGTGTGACAGCCAGACCTCCCCCATCCTTGACCCAGGGTTCAGACTCACTCCCAAACTCCTCCCATTGCCTCTCGGCCTCCCTCCTAGACTTCACCACTCTCCTCCCTGAAAGGGCCTGTGTTCAAACTCTCCTCCATCATCAAGGGAGCTGTGCCTGGCTGTACAAATCCCACTGGTTATTTATATTCCATCTCAAATGCCCCTCCTCTGGGAAGCCTTCCTGTTACTCCAACAGAGACTATTTTCTTTGCTCCTTTGATCTGCACTTGTGCTCACCTCCACCCTTATCACCAGTACCTCACTGATTCCCAGAACTCAGAGGGCAGAGCCTTGGTCAGATTCCTCACTGGGTACCAACTCCATCTCCAAACCAGTGCAGGGCTGACCCCAGGGTGGAACTCCTGGGAGATCATGGAAGTGTGGGCCTGGTTCAGTGGTTCACCAGCCTCTCCCATCATTCCCCCCCACCTTGTCTTCTCCTGCCCTGCTGCACACCACCCTCTGCTCCCCACTGACCCCGGCTACCTGGTGCCCTGGAAGGCTGCCCTGGGCCTGGCCAGTGTCTCAGCTCAGTCCCACTTAGCCCTGGCCCTGGCCCTCAGCCTCGGGCCAGGGAACGCTAGGCTGGTAGGGCAGTGGCTGGTGGCCAAGTCCAAATCTAATAGCTTCTGGCCGGACCTGGAGGAGGGAGTTTGCAGAAGGGTTATCCAGCCCTGGTTGTTGGTCCCCTACTTGTCTTTCCAACCCTTGCTGAAAACTGACTTATTTCAGGTCATTATTGTAAGGGTGTGTGACCTGGATGACACACCTATGGAAGAAATGGGTTTTCCTCAAATTTGAGGATGCACGTGGAAGCTGGTTGGATATGAATCAAACAAACCAGATTTGTCAGTGCCAGCTGGTGGTCTATGGAGTAGGGGATGGGGAGAGAGCACTGAGGTGGGAAACCCAGCCCCTGGAATCTACACCTAATCTTTCAAGGGAGAGATGTCACATACTGGGCAAGTCACTGGCCCCTCTCTGGGTCTCAGTGTCCTTATCTGTAAATGGAAATGGTTGTACTTAATGGTCAGGAAGACCTTCTGATCCCTGACAGCAGAGATTTTACAAAAATGTTATTGCCCAGACTCACATATGGCCATATCTCCAAAAACTGAAAAGGAAAAAGTAAAGTTCAGATTTAACCAAAGGTGATGAGCATTTTAAACAAATAGCTGCCCTTATCAAAGCTGAAAATCTAATACAAGGCAAACTGAAAATAAATGGTTTCCCCACATCATGAGCTGTAGGCCAAAGTGGGGAGACAGCATTAGCGAAATCATTACCGTTTGGGGGATCTATTTATGGCACATACTACCTTTCCGAGCGCTCCCAGAATGCTTAGCAAAATGCAATAGAAATGGATCTAGTTTTTGAGTAGATAAGCTTCAGGATCTTTACATTTAGTTCTATAATAAAGAGATATAGTACGAAAATAGGGAGAGTGGAGGGTAAAACCTAAGTATCATTCCACTTAAGCCTCCAATTTGTGTTAAAATTACTACTCGTAGGTATTAAATTCTATATAGTGAATTGTTCTTTATAGAAATTTTGGTACTTGGGAATTTCTCCATTCAATACCTACAGAGACAAAGGTCCTAGAGAAAGATCACATACATACAGCTACTTTTTTTTTTTTTTTTTTTTGCGGTATGCAGGCCTCTCACTGTTGTGGCCTCTCCCGCCGCGGGGCACAGGCTCCGGACGCGCAGGCTCAGTGGCCATGGCCCACGGGCCCACCCATGTCCCCTGCATCGGCAGGCGGACTCCCAACCACTGCACCACCAGGGAAGCCCGCCACCTATACTTATTAAAAAAAGTTGAAAACGCAGTTTTCAGTAACAACAGGCACATTTCAAGTGTTCGCGAGGCACACATGACCAGCGGCTACTGTATTGGACAGCACAGACACGGGACATTTCCATCACTGCACAGAGCTCGATGGCGTGGTGCTGTTTTAGAATCTTGCCTCAGGGGGGCTGCTACACCGGCGCCCACTGCCTCCCCAGGACCTCTCCGAGCTGGCAGTTTCATCTTCATCATGACGGCTTAATTCAGTCAAAGCCTTGACTAGCCTGACCCTAGTCCAGCTCGGGACTGTATCCTACAACCCTGAATCTCTACCTCAACCCTTCTCTGCAACAGGGTTCTCAGAGAGCTATAGGACTTTATGTCAACATTATTTCTCAGGTCTTGAGGTTTCCTCTATTTGTACTTTGGAAACGGAATTATTTCCATAAGCTGGTTATTATGTAACTAATCAACCAATGTTCTTGCTGACCCTCTGTTAATGATGGAACATGTTTAGTATGCTGTGGGAAAGATAGTTAAATCAAGTTGGGAGCTAGAAAAAATGAATTGTGAGGTTTTAGGGCTCTATGATTCTACTGATTTCAACAAAACATAGAGGGTTGATTGATGTTCTCCCCTATAAGCTGTCAAGAAATATGTTCCATTAGATAGTTTGATTATCTATCTATCTATCATCTGTTGTTGTTTTGGTTGAGGGTGGGGAAGATGAGGTAGTTAAGGGTGGAGGAAGTATTTAGGTTGAAAGAAAACTTCAGTGGAATTTGAAACCTAAGGCCCACAGAGTAGGACGGTGAGCCTCAGATGAATTCTAATGTCAGGATTCCCAACAGTTTTAATGAGCAGAAGCTACTTCTACTTCCTCAAGGCCTGGCTATCATTCTGATTGGGTCTGAAGATGTTGGCAGGTAGGTCCCTCAGGACACGGGGGAGAGACACTGATGAATACTTGACTTCACCCTCCACTAGGAATTCTAGACCATTGCAGAGAAAGAAGTGTGAGTGAGAAAGAAGTCTGACAGCCACTGACTTAGAAAATTTAACGGGCAATACTTTACCAGGCAAGATTTCCCAATCAGCTTTGGTCCACTTGTTGGGAAAGCCCTGCTGTTGGGTATTTATGGCCCTGAGTGTGCTCCACTGAAATCCTCCAGCAACCTACTTGTTATGAAAATCGTAGATCTCCTGGATGTTGCCAAAGATGATATGCTCCTTATTAAGGATCCCAGGGGGGATCTCCTCCACACCACTGGTCATTTCCCATAGGTAGGTCTGTAAGACAGCAACAGTTCCGTCACTGGCAAGCACTGCCATGTGAAATACACACAAAACAAACAGGGCTTCAAAGCTGTGGGGTAAGGCTCAGACTGGGAATGCATGTAGAGCCTAAAAAGTGAGATGGTAAGTAAGCAGAATGGAAAGAACGAAAACCTGGATGTTCCATTACTGTGAACTGTTGCTAGGGAAATTCACATCCCAGACTTTAGCAAGAATACAAACTCCACAGTCTTCTTATTTATTAAATGTGTTTGAGTCTGACTGTGTGTCGGATGCAGATTTTTAGACTCAACTTAAGTTCAGCGACTGTGTCATAGATTTTATTTTGAATTCAAGTGTGTTATATGCTTTTTTTTTTTTTTTTTTTTTTTGGGCCTAGTTCCAGTCTGAGAAGTTTCTTTCCAAAGCACTTTAAACTCCCATGCAATTATTATTGACTCTGGGAGAAAGATGTCCTCTGGTTGGTTTTTTATTCTTCAAGCTCCGGGAGAAGACAGAGTACTGAGTTCCTCTCCAGGACTTGATGTGGCAAGGATGTCAGTTTCTAATACAGCTGAGAATTGATGACCGCAAGACTTACCTCTAAGCACTCGTGTAAGTCCCTCACATAAGCCTTCTCTGTCTGAAGCAGTTCTGCCATAATGAATCTAGAAGGAAGCAAATGGGCTTTTAGTTGGTTAGAGACGTAATACCTCCCTTCCTTCAAACTCCACCACCCCCACCTCAGCATTTATGACATTCTTGAATGTCCTATTTTTCTACTTTACCAATATACATCTCTTCCTCTGAGTCCCTCTCACTCTGATCATTTACTCTGTGTCTCTTCAGCATGTTTGTGCTCAGCTAGTTCCATACTCTCTTCCCCTTTTACCCCCCCAGTTCTACCATGTTGTGATTCTGTGATGTGTGTGCTCTCAGTTGCACATCTGTGTGTGTGTGTGCACATAAGCTTGTAATGCCACTCACACTCATTCTCACCAACGAGACACCAACTCAGCTTCCCATGTTCCTCTTACTGTAGCTCCCAGAATGATGATTCCTGCTAAGTAGAATTGCTGACTTACACCAAAACAGTTCACAGTCCCACAGGTTAAACCAGGTTTAAAAGCCAGAAACAAGATGCCCAAGACACCACCGCCGAGACTGGGGGTTAGCAAACTTTTTCTGTAAAGAGCCAGAGAGTAACTACTTGTGGGCCATTCAGTCTCTGTCACAACCACTCAGCTTTGCTGTTGTGTGTGAAAGAAGCCACAGACAATACGTTAAAAAAGTAAGTCTGGCTGTGTTCCAATAAAACTATTTATGAACAGAAAAGAAGTTCATCTAATTTTCACGTCACAAAATATTCTTCTTGTTTTGATGGTTTTCAACCATTTAAAAATATAAAAAATAATTTTTAGCTTACAGACTATCTAAAACAGGTGGTGGACCAGATGTGGCCTGTAGGCCATAGTGTGCTGACCTCTCGCTTCTAATGGGGCTATTTTACATCACAAACTGATGTGCATGAGGCTGAGCATGTGAGCCCAAGCACAGCACAAGCTAATGATATTAACTGACTACTCTTCAGTCTCCCAAAAAGAGAAGCTGTGCTACACATATGCAAGGGGATGGCTCCTTCCACCTTGGACCCCTAAACAACACAATGTACCCGTGCGGGCGTCCAGCTCACGATGCGTGGCTTCACTGTAGTGTACCTACGTCACTTTCTTTCTTTGACAAATTTGTTTTAGAAATGGTGCTTCCTAGCTGGCATGTGATATGCAATAATATCTAATTCAGCACAAAATATATTTTTATATATTTATCTTAGATTTTCCATGTCATTTTTTCATGGAACTTCATAATGAGAATCCCTATTTACAAGGTGCTCCATCACATAAAAATTTTGAGAAGGATTATCCCGAGTGCCCCCTGGTTGGAGATTTCAGAAGAAATATTAAAATGAGCAGCATCTTTTCCTGAACCTTTATCTTGGTGGGATTTTCCTTAAAGCAAAACTTTGTTCTAGCAGTGGCCTTTCTATTAAATTATTGATTTTAAAAATTCCCTTTTGCAGGAGTTAATGAGCCACTCTCTCGTTTGTCTTGCTCTATTGGTAGAGTGGAAAGTCCATGAGCTTTGAAGTCAGACAACCAGGAATTGAATTATGACTGTCATTTCCTAGAGGCAGGACTTGCTTCTCCAAGCCCCAGACTCCTTACTTATAAAACAGCTGATCACATAGGGCTGCTGCAAGGATTAAACAAGATCCTATAAGCAAAGTTCCTAGTACACTGTAAGTGCTTGGTAAACAAAGAAAGAAGGAATATCAGAAGGGACGTAATCCCACTTGCTTTGAAAAGTTGTCTTTGATTTTACTGCCTTGGGTTCTGGCATGCCTCTACCTTCTCCCTTTTTCTCCAGCTGCTTCCTGCAGTTTCTCCTGTTTTTCTTCATAATTTAGCTCCACTACCCTCTACCCCATTTTGTTTTACTTTCCACCCACCCTTTACCGTCCTCTGGCTATTTGGTGTCTCAGAGACAGCCCAGCAGAAAGATCTGGCCACGTGTTGTCTCATTTCCCTCTCTATTATGGGTTGAATTGTGTCTCCCCCAGAATGCATATGTTGGGTCCCAGCCGCCAGTACCTCACAGTGTGACCTCATTTAGAGACAGAGTCATTGCAGATGCAATTTAAGATGAGGTCATACTGGAGTAGGGTGGGCCCCCATTCCAAAATGACTGGTATCCTTAAAATGGGGGGAAGTCGACACAGGCCTGTATTCAGGGAGGACGCCATGTGAACATGATGATGGCCATCTGTAAGGCAGGGAGAAAGGCCTGGAGCAGAGTCTTCCCTCCCAGCCCTCAGAAGGAATCAACCCAGCCAACAGCTTGATTTCAGACTTCCAGCCTCCAGAAATGTGAGACAATACATTTCTGTTGCTTAAAGCACCTGATTCGTCATACTTTCTTACAGCAGCCCAGATGAAACATAAGCTCTGACTTCACAGACCAGCTTGAGTTTCTTCAGTTCCAAGGGACCTGTGGTCCTACTTCATTTTGATAAAATCAACTACAGAGGCCTTCTTAATCTTAGAACACACCATTTTTTTTCCAGCATTACCCAAAAGGAATGTCAAAATACTCTTCATAAAGCCCTTGCATATCTCTGGCTATGTGTAACTTTGTAACACTGATATAAAGAAAGCAGAGTGATCAAGACACGGTTTGTAAGGTTGACATGGTTCATTGTTTCTTCTGTCCAATGCCCTAAAGTTCTTGGTTAGTGTGAAATGTGGGTGGAAGCATCATGTCTGTCCATTCCAACCTCTGTAGGTGGTCATGGGGACACAGCAAGCTGTCTAAAGGGACGGGTGGCAATGAAAACCAAGCATAGCCATGAGGAGCCTGCCAGTCGGTGGAACCGCCTCACGCCCAACCCCCTACATACTCTTTCTTCCGGGCTGATTTCCGCTTCTCTTCATTGATCTCATGGTTGGCATCCCGGAGCTTGACCTCACGATCTGAAAGGCTTGCTGGGATGATATCCAGCTCCAAGTCCTTGTTATCCTACACACAGAGAGATCGTAGAGGTCACCTTGGAGATGCTTTGGGAAAGCAACTCACCAGAGTTGGTGGAGGTGGGGGAAGGAAAGAACAGAGAAAGATATTACGGAGAAGGATGAGAAGATGGGGAATCCCACCAACTGCTACCCCCAAGCACTCTTCTTCATGGGATAATTTTTTTCTCAAATAAGAGAAGTATAAAATGTTCAGGTCAAATGCTCAGGGATAATATCCACAACAAAGAAAAAGAATGCACACATTTTATAATTAGTGTCATAGTTCCTCAAGGACGTTGGGCCTGATTAGATCTACACACACACACACACACACACACACACACACACACACACAGGTCTAAGACTGATGATTAACCATTAAAACAGTTGTGAAACAGAAATGTAAAAAGATATAAAACTTTCATTTGTCAAGGGAAAATAATAAAAGTAAATATTTTCATTTAAACAAGCAACTTCCCTTGGAAATAGAAAGCTAAATGATAGAACAATTACTGAATTTTCTAATTGCCCATCCATGCTTATTTCAACCACTGTTTGGTATTTATATAGAATAGAAACCTCTAGGAAAAAAGTCTCACAGGTTAAAGCCTGGGGGAGACGTTAAATCCCCCAATCTTTGTGGTTTGACCACTTTATTCTCTAGTCTGCTCCGCTTCAGAGTATGAGCCTATTTAAAGATTTAAGAATTAGAAATCCTAGGATTAAATTGCCAGTCTGTATTTCGCTCTTAATTCATAGGTTAATGACCCCTATTATAAAGAAGAGATTAAAAGTCAGTCTTCCTTTGCTTCCTGGAAAATAGTACTTCTTTTCAGTTGAAATGTCAAACAGACTTTATACAAATTGCATACCTTATTCTTGAAAGAGCACTATTATACACACTGAGGACTCTAATCATTTGCTGATTAACATAATTGGGTGGAAGACAGTACTGATGAAGCCAAGATAAAGGGCTTAATCCTCAAAGTCAACAGTTAACTCTACACACAGAAAAGCTCTGTTCTGTAGCCACAGGCCCTACCCCTGGCCAGCCAGTTTTGCACTGTGTATAGCACCAGTCATGGAGAGCTGGAAGCCAATGGCTCAGCAAGATCCAGTCCCTCCAGGAGAAGGACAACACAAGGCAATGCTCTAGGGGTCAACAGCTCAGGAAGATTCCTCTGCAAACCCAGCTTCCCTCCACGGCAATGAACAGCAGTACTGAGGGAGGTAAGAAAGGAGGATGTCCCAGCTGGGCAATCCCACACCTACCTCTGTGTTGACTCCAAGGGCTTTCTCCAGAGAGTACCGGTACTTTCCCATCCTCAAGGAGAAATCTCTGTAATGCTTGTCCACCGTGGTCACCCATTTCCTGATCTCTGTGGCATGAATGTGGCCTTTTTCCACAAAGCTATCGGCCAGCTGAATCAGGAGTTTCACCTTCTCCTTTGTTTGCTGCCCCAAAAGATGGTCGTAAGTTACTAGCTTACCTTTACTATCATGGCCCTTCACTCCAGCCCTCTTTCCTTCTTCACAGAAGCCATAGATACCCCAGAGCCAGACTGCCTCCGTTTATATCCCAGTGCTGTCACTTACTGGCTGGGAGGGCTTGAGCAAACTACTGAAACCCTCTGTGCCTCAGTTCCTTCATCTGCAAAATAGGGATCATAATAGTATCTATATTGTAGGGTTGTCGTGAGCATTATATGAGTTGACAATGTAGGATGTGTCTGGAATACAGTGTTCACAGTAAAAACTCAGTAAGCAATAAATGTTAGCCAGTATGGTTACTGATGTAAGAATCTCTTTCATTACTATAGCACTTCATCAGTTTACAGAGTATGTTCATGTTACATCTGAGACTCGTTTGGGTCTTAAAGCATCCCTAGGAGGCAGGTGGAGGGAGGTGGTACGGGTCTCTTTGAAACACAGATTGAAAAGGCTGAGGCTTAGAGAGGCTTAGGGCTTGTCCAAGTTCATACAACCTGTAAGTGATAGAGCCGTTTGCCTCTGGTCCATAGTTTCTAGTTCTCTCCCTTTACTCTACTGGCCTGAAGGAGGCTTTCTAAACATCAGGTGAGTTGGCACAGCCAGGTTGTACAGAAATCTAACTAGCAGATTTAAGAGTAAACTCTGTCCCGTTCACCACCAGGATCTTGTTTTTAGCTTCCGAGAGAGAGAGAGAGAGAGAGAGAGAGAGAGAGAGAGAGAGAGAGAGAGAGAGAGAGAGAGAGAGAGAG